ATATAGTAGACCTCTTAACTGGTTGCTTCCTATGCTGTATTCCGTACAGAAATACATAGTTCTACCAGTATTGCTGCCTCCATTTAAATTCCATAACAGCAAATCTAGAGGTGGTTTGCTTACAAACTATTATATTTACAAATTTACATACCTTCGGACAGCAGCAGTCAATATTGCGTGATGCATTGCTCTAGTGTGGCTTCAAGATGCCAATATTTTTGCTGCACAAGCAATTTTCACCAGGTCCTTACGGACTTTTCTGCTTGCTGGTTAGCTTTTGAAATTTAGAAAAATAATCTTTTCTAAAAATTCTGTTTTTTTACAAAATAACTGCACATTACAATATAAATATATACATACACTATACATATGTATATGCATATATGTATGTATTCATATACATGTATACAGGTATGTATACTCATATATATATTGAGACACATGTAGGTATGTATATGTTTACTTCGCCTTACTCTGTGGTAAAACGGTTTTCATTTGGATGTATCAGCTTTTTCTAATTTATCTGCTTTTCAGCAGTTTCAGTTTCAATGCAAATCCGTTTTATGCGGTGCAGCCAGGCGATCAGACAAGCAATTCTCATTGCTATAACTGTTTTATTTTCTTGATATTTTGCTTATGCTGCACTTTTTGCTCTATGGAACTAGTAGGTGCATGTGTGTGCGTAACTCGTAAAAGCTGTAAGAGCTGATAAATAAGCTGCTGGCCATTTGCCTACACACAATTGTAGGAAGTATTGTGCAATAAATGAAGCAATATTTAATATTTTGCATGCTGCATTTTCATTTCGAAGCATTTACTTATATCGGCTTGTTATTATTTATATGCACTGTTGCTTCTTACACAGAATGCAATCACTTAAAGATTATGAATCGTTGTAAGAGATTAAGAATAACTTTTTGTTAAAAAAAATTAAAATATTGGAAAAATCTAAAATTTTACATATGAGAGTTAATTTAGATAGCTGAGCTGGCATTGTCAAAGAAATTTAAATATTTAATGGTGGAATCTTGACTAGAAATTTATAAAAATCTAAACATTTTTCATATTTCGTAACCTTAGATTTTCAAAAATATCTGCTGAAAGATATTTTCAAAATTAAAATTATTGCTATTTTTTAAAGTAAAAATTGAGATATATTGATGAAATTTTGTAGGTGTGCGGGTTGGGCTAGGTTCAGTTAGGTTAGATGGCTAAACAAGTATCGTGCTTGGATGCGATGCCTATGAAAAGAACAACTCCCGTGTTCAAATTTATAAATTAGCAAAACGCTTAGTAGCCCATAAATATTTTCACAGGCGCTTAATTTCCATTCCCTCCAGTTCAGTGGGTTGCACGAAGGTGTGCTCATCTAAGAGTTTAAGACCTGACCTCCCAAACACGGGACAGTCAAGAAAGAAGTGTTGAGCTATTTCCTCCTCATCTTCTTCCAGGCGGTTGAATGGTACCCTTACTAGCTCATCAGCTTTGCAATTTCCAACGATTCCGCTATAGACACTCGTTGCTTTTGATAACAAGTTTAGGCATTCCTCAACCAACCCTCACACTGTTCAGTTAAGGCGAGTATAACTGCTCTGCAATCTGAGTGAATGGTAATTTCTTTGAAGGAGGCTGTACTCCGGGGCAATAAATCTATTGCTATCTTAATGTCTGCAACTTCGGCCTGGAAGACACTGCAATAGTCAGGAAATCTGAAAATGGAATTGATAGTGAGCTCCTGCCAGTAGACCACTTCACCAACCTTCCTCCACGCTTTGACCCATCCTTGAAGAAGCTTACTGCCCTCACCTCCACCGGCTGACAGCCACCATCATCTGAATTTTTGGCGCTTGATATTTCTAACAAGGCGAACAGTTGCGTTTACATTTTCATATTTAATATGATCCACACAATTTTTTTTCAATTGTTTAAAAAATTTCAAAACCATTTTCCGCAAAAAAAATACACAACGATTTGATTTATTTTTTATTGGCAAAAAATTTTTAATTATTTTATTCAATAAAAGAGTATATTATGTACATCTTGTATATTATCTAATAATATGTAATAGTTTTAGCTATTGAATCTCAAAGATAATCGCATTTATTGTTTCCACAATAACTATGTTATTTACATAAATTCTCTGCTTCATTAAGCAGCAAGCAATTTTGCATGCCATATTTTACTTACATAAATACAATACATTGTATATATAGTTTACATTTATATAGACATGCATCATTTATTAAAGAAAAAAGCTATTCTAAATCTTTAATGTTTCTTGTGCGGTTTTGTTTTTTACAAGAAAATGTGTTACATTTCTCATTTTTATTGTTTTGTTATAAAACACAAAAAAAAATAATTGAAAATTTTTATAAAAATATTTTTTTTTGTAGATTTTTAAATTGTAATGTAATTTTTAACATAAGTATGTTGTTAAAAAAAATATTTTTAATTCAGTCCTTTATCACGTTTGCCCAAAAACCCTACATTAACCCGTCATATTCACTTGCAAGTCAAAAAATGCGCCGTTAATTCAATTAATAAATAGCGCTTACATAGATACATAGGTTAATATGATATGAGAAAGGTGTGTGAAAAATTCAAGTTGAAACAATTCAATCGTTATCAACAATTACTGGACGTCAGAAATAAATAACACATGTGTTTAATGGTGACGCCAATGGTTCTCTTCTGTGAGTTCCAGAGTTTTACTCAGAAGCACCAGGAAGATGAAAGTATGAATAGAGCTCACTACATATTCCTCATGCAAAGGGCGCTCTACCCACAGACTTATAGTATACCGGATATCCACTCGTGGATAGACAAACGACATGGGGACTTGTATTTCCATCTGACCCATCGGGCAGGTTGCTTTAGAAGCTACCTTTACAGATGCCTACATGATATTAATCCGAACTGTCCTACGTTAGACACTTATTTATTATTATTGCCCTCGCTTTTCAAATATAAAAGAAAAACTAAAAATCACATTTGGTGGTGGTTTTATGGTCGATAGTTCAACGACACTTATATGTCAGTTGACTGAGAAATGCAAAGCTGTTAACGAAGCGTCGGCAATGTAATGAGAGTTTTTCAATAGATTCAATAGCTTAGGCGTCCGTCAGTCCGGCTAAAAAAGGAGACTTAAATGTCCTGTCTCTCTCGCGAAACAATATTTAACCGGTGGTTCCGTGGGTGTATCGTGGCTGATTCACTTACAACTTTGTTTCAGACATTTTCTTTTTCTGTATTTTATGCGAGAGCACCGCAGAAAGTAACGTGACCCTACTATACACTGCTTACTTTGCTTCATTCTTAAAATATGAATGGTATAGCAACGAGAAATAATTGTATGAACATCGACGATTACAAATACGGTCGTAACTCCAGAACTAATTGCCGCATCCACATTAAATTTACGAAGAATATTCTGCAATACACATATGTAGGTAGAAAAGAAAAAAATAGGTATTTGCAATTCACAAGTGCATAAAAATGCTTAAATAAAGAGTAAAGAACAAAAAACAAAAAACAAATAAAAATTATTGATATAATAAAATTTTATGAAAGCACTAGCTTGGTCTAACTTTTTGGTAATTCGTTGTCATTGTTTGTGTATTTTATTTATATTTTTCTTTTGCTTACTTTTTAATATAATTTAATTTTA